GAGAGAGAGAGAGAGAGAGAGAGTTTTCCATCTCGTGTGCCTGAGTGAGTCTGCTGTGACTTTCGTCACTCTTTTTCCTTTGAGAGAGAAGAGCGGGCCTGGTAACCATCAAGATCTTTACAATATAGCTTATACCAATTCCAAAAGACATTATAGGACCGGACAAAACTAAAACGAGTCAACAGCCACCAGAACAAATTGAACCAAAAAGAAAAAAGCAGAGAACGCAGGACCACTTCCCACTGATCCCAGATGCAACGGTACTGCTTACGGTAGATCTGCTTTATGAAGCCACAACAGATCATCTAGTCCAGTTCCAGTACACTAGAAAAGTTGCTAGAACCATGTCTTGAACACCAGTGCGAGGAGTCACACTTGACAAAGTGTGTTTCTAGATGTATGATGAGTTGGAGAGAGACCGAGAATATGGCCCCTGCTTCCCCTACTAGCTACTTCGACAATACAACGATTACAATCCCTTTAAGACTGCACCACAGGGCAGCGAGAAAAACAGTCCACCCAGCTGCAGTTGCCTGGAAGAAGATGACCGGTAAGTTTGCGCCCAGAGAGCGCTCACCTCTGCTTCTTCTCACAATCCAGACTGTTGGTGATAATTGTTGTTCTGTCCAGCAATCTACCCTCGGATAGTTGGCTCCTCGATGTACCAATTTGAATGAAGCAGGCAGGGGAGTTGGAATAGGTGTGACATGAGGAGGGCACCTGCCCCAAATAATGTTGTGGTGTGGAGGTCTCCTGGAGCCCAAAGGTTCAAACTCTGTGTGAAGAAGTATCTACAAGATAAAAATAGAAAAAATCCTGGCTGTCGACTGGCAATCGACTAAAGCTGAATTCCTGCTAAAAATAGGGTTGTGCCCCTTTCTAATGTCAGTTACAGAAACAAACCCCAAAGTAGCATGTTTCCAAGACACTGTACCATCAAAGCTAAGCTCATTCCCTGGTACATGTACGAAGTTAAACCCGTTCCCTGGCACAGGAACAAAGTTGAACTCGTTCCCTGGTACACGTACAAAAGTTAAACTCATTTCCTGGTACACGTACAAAGTTAAACTCATTCCCTGGTACACGAACAAAGTTAAACTCGTTCCCTGGTACACGTACGAAGTACTAATGTCAGCTACAGAATCGAACAGACGAGAAAGACGTTTTCGATACACTCCCTAACTGAATGACAGGAGCTTGAACCTCCTAGATGACAAATGATGCACTCCATTGTGTTAAATTTCCAGACCATGCTCTCTCATCGGAGTTTCACATGTTGCTGCTCTCCCTTCTGCGTGGTGCCTCTCCGACCACTTAGAAGAACAGCCGAATCAACCACAAATTAACAATGACAAATATCATTGAAATATGTCCCTGGACTTTGCAGTTGAGTCATTCCAGGTTGTCGGAATCGTGTCAGAAGCCCTCCTGGGTAAGGCAATTTTCTCAAGATCTTCGTGGTCGAAGACAACAGGTAGTCTACTCGGGACTAGTGCTTGCCATGACTTCACCCTCAATTCTGAATGGCAGTGCAGTCAACCTTAGGGCTCTGTCCACGTGGAGAGGAATCGTAAGTTCGATGAAACATGGAGCACACATCTATAACACAGGTACAAATAAGTACCTGCAAGTAGTGAAAGAGAAGGTGGTAAGCGCACTGCTGTGAACATCCACCATGTCCTGGGGTTCTGCACCATTTAGAGACGCGTTCCCGTCTGACATCTTCCTCCTAAGAGAACTCCACGATGTCAAAAAAGTGACAACAAAGGATATCATTTCCTTTTAACTTGCACTGCGAACCACGAGGCTTGGCTGTAGCTCTATTGCTGGCTTTCATTCAACGAGCCATCGTCCAGTCATTGCGTGTGCTACTATCTGTACGTGGTGCAGATTTGGGTTTTCCACGCAGCAGGCCAGCGGAGGGAGTCGTAGGCAAACTCAATGTTCACAAAATGTCGAGCGACATAAGTGTGGCCGGCAAACTCAATGTTCACAAAATGTCGATTGCAGTCCTGGTGGTCGAGCCAACTCAGTGGCCGGCGGTAGATCAGTGTATCATCCTGTGCGTTCACTCACTTCAGCCATCGGTTTGAGATCGATCGCTAGAGCTTATCAACGGCCTCTGCCCGATTCCTGCACAAGCTGCCTCCGGAGTGCCCTAGAGTACTGAGCATCGCTATCACTGATGATCAAGCAGGCAACGCCCTTGAGATGAACCCAGTTGTCCTTGAAGTGCGGCGCAATGTATTCTGCATGGCACAAAACAATGCACACGAACCAGCATGGGCAACTTGGTGAGGCAGCTGACAATCATGAAGATACAGTCATTACCCCACTTCATCTCCAGAACAGGGCCAGTGACATCTATGGTGAAAAGACAGTCATTTCTCGACTTTTCTCCACTTTGTGCGAGGCGATTGAATGCCGAAAAGGTTGACAAGTGCAAGAAGGTTCCCTGGTCTGGACCTCTGACAGAGTGCACACATCTGCACACACCAAGGTATACCGGAGTACATCCTGCCAAAGTCCAGGCCGAAAGAAAACACTACTCCAGCCATCCTGGCCTTCAGTCAATACCAAAGTGGCCGCCAAGCCATGGACTCCCATTACTCCTTAACTGAGGACATTGCAGAAGAGCAACACGCTGCCACGCCATGAACTCCCTAATTGAGGACCTTGCTGGAGACAAACATGTCTACGCATCCTCTCTTATCTGCAATTGGGTCGATAGTCACAGTCTATAAGGAAGAATGATCTGCACAGACTGCAGTGCATCAATCTTCACTGGCAACCGTCTAGTTCCATGAAAACAACCTCCATATAAAGGGAGGTTTGTCAGCTCGCCAAGGGTGAGACTCACTCGATGAACCAGTGGCAACCACCAGGGATTCTTGTAACGTCCCTGGGATCAAACAAGTCCGCCAGATGAGGCACGATCCCAGAACTACTGGCCGGTATCCAACTGCCCAACAAAGGACTGAGCAAAACTACCCGATGTGTTTGATGTCCCATTTTTCAGTAGCGTCATGCATGTTCCATAGACTTTCTAGCTTCGTCAAAATACAAGCCAGAATACTCATGGGTCTGCACTTTCGCCATGCTACACTATTCTAGTGTCACAGACAGGACCAGAAAGGTCTCGGGCTCGTTAGACAAACTGCCCGAAAGGCATGAGAGCAAACCACAGTGGCTGCACTTAGTGATGGACACGGTCTCAATTGTTTCCTAGCCCCCCCGCAGGTCGGCTTTCAACATCGCGGTATCCATTTGTTGAGTTCCAGTTTGGCCATATGGAATGGCACTGGAAGGGACTGTGACTCCGACCTCAAAAGGAGGCTCTCTCTCAGCTCTGGGATGGGGGATCGTGAAAGCACCATGGACACTATGGATCGGCGGTGGGGAGGGTGGAAAGCACAGGAGGATCTCGGAGAGCAGCAAGAGTTCTGAGGTATAGTCTGAATGTGAATACAGAGAGCGTACAAGATGAGGTCACACAGGCATATGCCTGTACACTTGGGTAACCCCTGAAGTAAGGTGATGACCTCTAGAATTTCTAATAGCTAGAGCAGTTCAGCCTTCCCGGTTGTACTTTTACTATAAAGCTACAAAAGCAGACAAACTCATACAACATGTGGACAGTGAGAAGTTCAGGCAAGGGTTATAATAGAGCTTTGCTGACTTGTACTCACCTTGGTTATCTTTGAGTTTGCTTAGTTTTTCTCTAATTCGATCTTCAGGCCTACTTCATAAATGCCCAAAATCGAGTTTAAACGGCAGGTTCTTTGCCACAAGACAGAATAATTCATATAAATCTTTTATATCCTCCTTTCAAGTGGAAGTAAGACTTTACTCTATTCACGTAGTGGGAGACGGTAATGGTCTTCTTGTTAGCCGATAGTGAGGTGACAGGTGTAAGCTCTTTTTTTCACCTTCATTCCCAAATACAACTTTCTAATTACCTATTCTAAGATTATATAATCTGGCTGATCCTCTGTTTACTAATCAACTCTGGTTCTATTGATCTTTGTGTCCACTATGATGAATTGCCCTTTTCTTGCTACGAGCTTCATAACTTAATAAGTTCTTTACCATGCTCATCAAGGGTCCCACCCAATACGGCAGAACACAAGACCGGTTCGGGCGGGCAAGGGGTTGAAGAACAGTCGTTCCCTGCCGTAGGAAGGCTGAGAGTCAAAGGGAAGTTGTGGCACCAACTCATCTGGACCCTCATGCTCAGTGGAAGCAGATGCTCCTTATATTGGCTACTCTCTTTCCAGACAAGGGGACACCATGCAATGATGTGTCCCTCAGTCCCAAACTTAAACCACCAGCACCTATTGTCGTGGCTGCCGAACCTCTCTGCGGCGGATAGATGTAGCAGACCTGCTTACTTTTCCAAAAAAAAAAAAAAAAAAAAAAAAAAGGAAGAAGAAAAAGAAGAAGAAGAAGAAGAAGAAGAAGAGTGGCTTTGAATTCACGTCTACTGCATGCTTGGCAGAGCGCATCTTAAACCCCCAGTTCACACAAGCCAAAATCGACGAAGCTACCTTCCAAGGCACACAAGCCTGCAACTGCGCCTTTTCAACGTGGCATGCCACTTTCGCTACCGGCCAAGCCCCGAATCGAAATGCTCGCTACCGGCCAAGCCCCGAATCGAAATGCTCTCACTGTGTATACGAGTAAGAGCACTACTTAGGTTCATCTGAACCGTCGTGTGATGACATCGAGCGATAAAAAACATAATTAAAAAAAAAAAAAAATTCACCTACAGCAGATTTTCACGGAATGCTGGCTACCCTGTCCCTGTGAACACAACCCATCCTGATGATGAATGTACTATCTATACAAGCAGTCTTTCCAGTCCCTTGCAATCACGATGAGGGTTGTTTTCAAGGGAACCCGGTAATGCATCGTCCAGGATAGTAGCTCGAGCAAGGGCCACACAATGTCATTTTTCCTGAAAGAAAATGGAGCCTAGTGTAACTGTGTGCAGGGCCCCTTCTCCCCCTCTCACTACCCAATCACGTCTAAGGCTACACCAACCCTGTCCAAGACCTCCGAGCATGTCGGAGGTTTACGGCACTACCCCTTATTCGTTCTTTCCTGCCATACTCCCTAGGTTATACCCATTGATTTTCAGGACACTCCTGAACGGACCTGACTTCTTCATTATGATCTTGTTCTTATGGCCACCCTTGTTGGCCGCTATAGCAGTGACATCCTCCTCCATAGATTCCCTGCTGCCAAGCTCCCTGATCTTCCTCCAAGGGCCATATTATGGCAGTGACATCCTCCTCCATAGATTCCCTGGTGCCAATCTCCCTGATCTTCCTCAAAGGCCCATATTACTGCATTGTCCCCGTCAAACAATACAAAGAGATGGTCCCTCTCTTTTCTTAAAGATTACCTTCTTACTCTCTGTATTATCTTCATCAAACACGACAAGGAGATAGTCTCTCTCTTTTCTTAAAGATGATTTTCTTACTATCTTCCCCCGAACATGATGCACCCTGATAATGAATCTATACAAGCGATCTCTCCGGTCCCATACAGCCAAAATAAGTGTGCGTTGTGTTTGGGGAAGACGCTAGTGCCCCCTTCTCTTCTTCCTCATACAGTCCCAGCATGGTCCCTCTCTTTTCTTAAGGATTATTTTCTTACACATGCGCCCTTCTCTTCTTCCTCATACAGCCCCAGCATAAGTGCCTTTCACCTGTCACACAAATGGTTAACAGGTACCCCCACTTTTCACCCCTGGCCCTTTGGTTTTCTTATAAATGGGGTTGAAAATTGGGGGGTCGGTTAACCTTCCGTCAGGTGGGCTATCATAGCTTTTGTAGAAAGATTCTTTTCAACTAAAATCCGATGGTCCTCATTCGGTTTTTCTTTTCATTTGTGTCTTAACTGGTTCAGGCAAGACCTTAGTATAAATGTGCAGTACCTGATCGTCCTCTTTACACAGAGGTCAAGCATTTGGAGCAACTCACCCATTCTACATACGGGTCAGAGTCTCAACGGACTTCGCGGGTGGATTGTTGCGTTGCCACTGCCACTCATTGTGCCGTTGTATCTGTCCGATTGTCATAATCCGCTCAAAGGCCTCGGTTGCCCTGTCTTTGTCCAAAGAGTGTTCCTTCAGTTCGATAACGGCTTCTTTGAGAGTCTCGCTTTCGGCTCATTCATCGATTCTGAGCCCTCCAGCCAAACACTTCATCATCCATGACTTCACACCTCCAGCCAAGCATACGGTCGCCACATTAAACTTAACAGTCTACAGAACTCTACTGACAGAGAAGTTCGGACTTTTGCTGTCCGCATTGCCAAGTAAGTTTTTGTCTCTTCCGACAAAACTTAAGCTTGTGTGTGAAAGGCGTCTTTGGGATTTCGACCTTTTTCCTTTTGTGCCTTCTTCTTGGGTTCTGGACTCTGCTAGGAGTTCCTTTGGGACTCCCTTTCGGACCATTTGCTGGGCTATGGATATGACTTGGGGACTTCTTTAGACTTTACGACGGTTCAGTATCTTTGCCAGGACCCAAATCCGTGGCCACATGGACTCGAACCGGTGATCTCAGCCATAACAGATGGATGTCTTGACCACTGCAACTGTGACACGGTGTTCAAAACTGCAGTGGAGGATACTCGACTCAATGCTCGACTCAACGCTCGACTCAACGCTCGACTCAACGCTCGACTCAACGCTCGACTCAACTCAACGCTCGACTCAACGCTCGACTCAACGCTCAACTCAATGCCATACCGGTCGTAGCATTCAGCCCACCCCAGCACAGTTGCAGTGGAGGATACTCAACTCAACGCTCGACACCCGTCTCCACAACTGAAATCATCAGCAGACTCACTTCCAAACTCTTCCCGCACTAAGTGCCCTAAATTGGTTGTAGTTTTCCTTTTTATAGCACTAGAACTGGCCCGGTTGTTTCTTTTCATGGGAGTTTTTTTTCCTTCTGTCTGCAGCCGGAGTGACTTCATTGCATCACTAAGGAGTTTGGGTCGTTTTTCCTCTCTACTGGTTCGACCTTTCCTTTGCACAGTACTGCAATTTCAATGGTCGTCATTTCATCCTTCATTTCTTGACAATCTTCTGAAATTTATTTCTGTATCTTCCGCGCGTCAGTCACGAGTGCAGACAAGTTCATCATCTAGGCAGCCAATACTGCTTTCTATCATTAGATATTTGACTTCTTATGCTTGTTCCTTTTTCTAGACTACATCAGATATTGTGGAGAGCAAA